GATTCTTGGATAAATATAGGATTAAAATGTTAAATTATTACTTTCATGTGTTTTAGAATTATTTAAAATAACTTTATGTTTAAAAAATTAGTTCAGTTTTACAAAATAGCTGTGACCTTGGGGAAACTACTTAACCTCTTTGGACCTTATTGGTACCTTTAAAATGACAGGATTGAAATGGGCAAACCATTAATACCTCTTCAGTTCTTAACCTATGATTCTTATGGTTTCTATGATAATATGAGATAATGCATATAAATTCTTCAGCACTATGCCTGGCTTATTATTAGTCTGCTTCCTACTATGAAGAGCATTATTTCCTTTGATCATGCCATTAACTATAAAACTATTAAAATGCATGAGAAATAATCCTATCCATTGAGTTGTTTGTTCAAGTGGCTGTATGTTAATGTAAATGAAATGGTAAGCTTGATGTTTTCTGAAAATAATTTCATGTTTAACATTGACTTCTATTCCCACTCTTTTCTTTGTTGCTGTCACTTTATACTTTCTTTAGTCATTTTAGGAGGCCTAAAAATGTAGCTCAGTGATAGAGTGCTTATGTAGCATGTGTGAGGCCCTGGGTTGGACAGAAAGAAGGAAGGAAGGCAGGGAGGGAGGGAGGAAGGAAGACACCTTAGGGAGGCAAAGACTGGAACCTCTTATGACGTGGTGGTAATTAGACCCAATATGGAAGATGAGAGGAAGGGAAGGAAGAAAGAAATAAAGGAGGGAAGGAGGGAGAGAGCCAGATATTATTAGAAAATGGATAGGAGGTTTAAAATTTTCAGCCCTTTTATTTTTATCTTACTTCAATCTATAGCTCTATGACTTATTTCTTCCTGTACTACCACTCTATTCCCTGCCTTTTTCTCTGCAGTTTATCTTATCTTTTCCTCTTTTTACTTCCTTTCTTTCTTTTTTTCTTTTTTGGTACTGGGATTGAACCAGGGGTACTTTACCACTGAGCCACATCCCCAGCCCTTTTTTTATTTTTATTTTTTTAACTTTGAGACAAGGTCTTAACCAAGTTCCTCAGGGCCTCGCTAAGTTCTGAGGCTGGCCTCAAAATTGTGGTCCTCCTGCCCCAGCCTCCCAAGCTGCTGGGATTACAAGTATATGCTACAATACCCAGGCCCTCTACTTTATTTTATGTTGTATTTACATAGGTTTATTATTTCTTTCCTACCACCATCCCAAATCAAATTTATATCATGATATGAAAGTTCCATCTAAGATACTTTAACCCCCAATAATAACCATTTTCCAGTTTTACTGAGTGGGCCACTTTTCATATTTTCTTTTACTTTTTTTATTTTTCTCTTTGTTTTTAAAGTAAGGAGTCATATAGTATAGAAGTTAAGCTCACAGGATCTGAAACAGTCTGTTTAGGTTCAAGTTCTAATTATGTCATTTACTGTGGCCCCTTATAGTATATTTAACCACTTTGTCTCAGTTCCCTCATCTGAGTATGTTTTAGAAATTTTAGAATTAAATGAAATAACTTATATAAAGCTCTTAGAATAATATTTTGAACTATTTAGAATAGTAATTGAGCATGTTTATTATACTTTTGATACATTAGTCTTTGTTAGCAAAACATATTTCAAATATATTCAAATACTACTTTTGAGAATGTTTTAAGAAAAATATGGCAATTTTTACTATCTATATTCCAATTTCAGAAGAGAAAAAAATGTTAGAAATTATATGAGAAACCTGTGTTGAATCATAAAATTTAAATTGGAAAGGACCTTTGTGCAATTTCTCATTTTACAGTGAAAGAAGCCAAGACTGTGAGAGATTAAATGGCTTGCCCAAAATCACATAGCTAATTAATGGCAGGGCCAGAAATACATTCCATATCTCTTGATTCCCAGTCCAGTGCCATTTCTAGAAAACAAAATTGGCTTTTAGATATCAGTGGAGAATTGAAAATTGAACCTATAGTGTATGAACTCTTTCAGCTTTCCGCCATCCTATTCAACTTTCACTCTAACTATGTTATTTCTCTGTCTCTGAACCTATCCTTAATCCTCTGTTTGTCTGGAAAGATGAATTATCTTTTCTTCAATTCAAGGTTTATTTCTCCTCTTGCAAACTTCTTTTATTGTAATTCTCAACACATTAATTGTACAAATTGATGGGTTTCACTGAGGCATTTCCATACATGTGTATATTAAGATTTGATCATGTCCATTCTCCCTTCTCCTATGTAATCCTGCCCCACCATCCACCTCTTTTACTTTCAAGTCATCTCTTTTTTTAGTCTCCTTATATGAGAAAAAATATGTATTACTTGTCTTTATGTGGTCTGGCTTATTTTGCTTAACGTTTTGTCTTAGTTCTATCCATATTTCTGCAAATGGCAACATTTTATTCTTTTTTTAGCTGAATAATATTCCATTATCTATCTATCCATATATGTATATGTATATGTGTGTGTGTGTGTGTGTGTGTGTGTGTGGTGTTTTCTTTGTCCACTCATCTGTTGATACATATCCAGGCTGATTTTATATCTGGGCTATTGTGAAAAATGGCAAAATAAACATGGGTGTGCAAGAATCTCTTTTGCATGTTGACTTCATTTCCTTCAGATGTATATACCCAGAATGGTGTAGCTGGATCATATGGTAGCTCTATTTTTAGTTTTTTTGAGGAACTGTCACACTATTTTCTATAGAGACTGAACTAATTTGTTTCCCATCAATAGTTAGGGTTCCTTTTTCTCCACAACCTCACCAACATTTGTTATTTTTTGTTTGTTTATTGTTTTTTGTTTGTTTGTTTTTGATAGTAGCTATTCTGAGTTAAGGTAGAATATCAATGTAGTTGTGATTTGCTTTCCCTGGTGACTAAAGATATTGAACATTTTTTCATATATTTATTGGCTATTTGTACTTTCTCTTTTGTGAAGTGTCTAATCAGTTCAATTGCCCATTTATTAATTAGATTATTTGGCTTTTGTTAAGTTTTTTGAGTTCTTTTTGTATTCTGGAAATCAATCCTCTGTCTGATGAATGGCTGGCAAAGATTCTCTCCCATTAAGTAGATTGTCTCTTCACTGTTTTGTTTCCTTTGCTGTGCAGAAACTTGAATTTTATGTAATCCCAATTGGTAATTCTTGCTTTTGTTTCCTGAGCTAAGGGAGGAAATCATTGCTTGTGCCAATACCTTGAAGTGTTTCTCCTGTATTTTCTTCTAGTAGTTTTAAAGATTTTGGTATTTTATTAAAGTCTTGAGTTGTTGTTTCTTCAGGGTGCGAGATAGGCATCAAATTTCAACCTTCTACATTTGATTATTCAGTTTTCCCAACTTATTGAAGAGACTCTCCATCCAACGCTTGCTTTTGACACCTTTATATAAAGGAGTCAGTTGGTGAAGGTGCATGAATTTATTTCTGGGCTTTCTTTTTTTAATTTTTTTTATTTATATATGACAGTGGAATGCATTATAATTCTTATTACACATATAGAGCATAATTTTTTATATCTCTGATTGTATACAAAGTATATTCACACCAATTCGTGTCTTTATACCTGTACTTTGGATAATAATGACCATCACATTCCACCATCATTAATAACCCCATTCCTCTTTCCTCCCCCTCCAACCCCTCTGCCCTATCTAGAGTTCATCTATTCCTCCCATGCTCCTTCTCCCTATCCCACTATGAATCAGTCACCTTATATCAGAGAAAACATTTGGCATTTGTTTTTTGGGAATTGGTCAACTTCGCTTAGCATTATCTTCTCTAACTCCGTCGATTTACCTGCAAATGCCATGATTTTATTCTCTTCTATTACTGATTAATATTCCATTGTGTATATATGCTACATTTTTTGTATCCATTCACCTATTGAAGGGCATCTAGGTTGATTCCACAGTTTAGCTATTGTTAATTGTGCTGCTATAAACATTGATGGGACTGTGTCCCTGTAGTATGCTGTTTTTAAGTCCTTTGGGTATAGACCAAGAAGAGGGATAGAAAGAGACCCAGAATAGCTAAAGCAATTCTTAGCAGGAAGAGTGAAGCAGGAGGCATCACTATACCAGACCTTAAACTATACTACAGAGCAATAGTAACAAAAACAGCATGGTATTGGCACCAAAGTAGACTGGTAGACCAATGGTACAGAACAGAGGACACAGAGACTAACCCACAAAACTACAACTATCTTATATTAGACAAAGGTGCCAAGAACATACATTGGAGAAAAGATAGCCTCTTCAACAAATGGTGCTGGGAAAACTGGAAATCCATATGCAACAAAATGAAATTAAACCCCTGTCTCTCACCATGCACAAAACTCAACTCTAAATGGATCGAAGACTAAGGAATAAAACCTGAGACCTTGCATCTAA